GAGAACCAGAAATTGATAATTGACTTAAAGAATGAACTGATTATTTTATTATCTAAGGGTAAAGTAGCAAAAAAAAAATATTTTATAAGCTTTTATGGAGCTATCATAAAATGTCAATTTTTTACAGATTTCGAGTTTTATGTGCTAATTCTAAAAGCAATTTGAGTAGATGCAGGAAACACATAACCAGAGATGCAGAGTCCCAAAAAGACTCAGGCTTCTATTTTTTCCTGGTCTCTGGTGTCTAGAAGCTCTGAAAATGTTGGTTAACTTATGATCTGCTATATAAAAAAAACTCATGAAATTTAATGACTTAAAACATATTGTTTTTAAGCTCGGAGTCATGGAGTCCCGGAGTCCTTGCCGCCATTATACCTAAGGACTCCAGGTTCAAAAATGGATGTTCCTCTAACCTAAAAGTCTCAATTTTTTTTACCAATAGTAGTCCATAAGCATTTTTTTATATTATTAGAGCTCCTGGATACCAAAAACTAGGAAGAAGTAATCTTTTTGTGACATTCAAATCTGGAGTCTTTTTTGGGACTTTGCATCCCTGTACATAACACAAAAGAAACTCATGCTTTGAATTTGAAAGAGTTATTTGGCTTTGAATTTGAAAGAGCTATATATATATAAGGATATTTTTACATAATCTTAGTTAATTTGCATAACCTTAAATAAATCTACACTAATGTGTATTATACATATAATTCACTATAAAATTAAATAAACACCATCTACTTATTTCTCAGCAAAGTACTGTTTGTAGACCAAATCCTAGTCAATTACAGGAACTTATTTCAAATTTTTTACTAATTGAACTTAAGTGGAACCACCACTATCAGTATCTGGAGCTTTGGGTGTTAATAATGAGCAATACAATTGTATGATCAAACAGGAACAACTAAAAAAACAAAATACCTAAGATGACAGTTTTTTTTGGGAAAGAAAGACAAATGGAAATGATAATTGATAAAGACTTTGACACATTCAATAATGATACTGATAATTAACTACCCCTAAGTTTTACCATTTATTGTTGGAACAACTACTGATGGAACAAGTACAAATAAAAATAACAACTGTTATATATACAGATGCACAGAAATGAATGAAACCTTTATGCAGCAACTATGACACAGTTCTTGTCACATTGTTTGCAACTTGCTATGATGATTAGCTGCTATGAATTACTTTAAATTACAGCAATTTTTTATGTTTCATTATACATCTAAGACAACATCTGCTGCTAAATGAACTGATAAAAGGCTTTGAAATCTTTTGAAGAAAACATGCACTTTATCATGAACATCATCACTTGACAGAGACTGGCAAAAATATTTTGGCACTATTGAAAAGTATTTCTTGGCACTATTTGAAAATTATTTGAGTGTTTTTGAACAAATGTTTGTAATGACCTTAAACTGAACCCTGTAATATGAAACTATTTAAGTGAAATGTGTTATTACTTATGTGTAAACTATTGAATAGCACCTGACTGAACTGATCATGGTTGGTTATCAATGTTTGATGCTATTTCATGCTTTGAGAAAACTTTTAATTTTTTTTTGTTGTTTATTAACTAAATTTAGAGATGCATAATTTATAAATGATCTCTTAACTGCTTCTGTTATTTTATGACAAAATAACAAAAAAATATTTTTTAACTAGTATTTCCAAAAAAGAAAAATTTAAAGAAATATCTTGAATTCCAGAAATATTCAGAAAAAATAATCTCAAATAGTTTCAAGTTGTATTTGTAACTTATTAGTTGTATTTATAGATATCTTTTTGTAACTAATATAATTTCTTTTATTAATGTTTTATAGATTGAGGGGAAGAATGTAAAAAACTGCAAACAAAAAATTAAAAAACCTGATTAATAATAATCCTAGTGGATGAATTATGATTAATAATAACCATAGTAGATGAATTATAATGAATAATAATCATAGTGGATAAATTATGATTAATAATAATCATAGTAGATGAATTATGATGAATAATAATCCTAGTGGATGAATTATGATTAATAATAATCATAGTAGATGAATTATGATGAATAATAATCATAGTGGATGAATTATGATTAATAATAACCATAGCGGATGAATTGTGATTAATAATAATCATAGTGAATGAAGGGCAACTTAATAAAAACCTTTCAGTATAGACTCAAAAATCTTTCACTTGGACAGAATTAAATGCAATTATATACTACTTTTAACCATACATATAGTTTTTTTGTTTTTGGCAATATTACCATGTCTGCTTATTTTTAAAAGACTACATTATTAAACAGTTCAATTGTGTATGTGCGTGCGTACAATAATTTTTTTTTTTTTCAAAAAAGTTAGAAAAAATATATGCTTATATATAATTATTTATATATATAAGTAGAATTAATAATAATTATAAGTATATTTTGATAAATTTTTTTGATTTTATAATGTAACACTATTTACAAATTTCTTTAAATTCATAAATAAATATATTTAACCTTGTGGTAGCAAATATCTGAAACCCATTGGCTGGTTCAATTCCATCTGGATGACCAGGAATATATAGTTTTTTCAATTTTACCAATGCAACTAACATGGATAGCACATCTGTAGGTGCGGTATTAATATCTTCAAATAAAACCCAGCTACCATGCCGTAAAGCCTGAGTTAAAGTTCCAGGTTGCCAATGGAATTTTCCACTTGCACCAGAACACATATATGAGCCTAACAATGACTAAAAATTAATTTAAATAAATTTTTCTTTTATTACTACAGTGGTGTTAGTACAGATGTAAAAGATTGCAAAAAACTACAAAAATAACTTTCATATTAAATAAGTATAAGAAAATGTTATTATTAACATAACATAAAAATATTGGTCTATAAAACTCATAAAGTTGCATAATGCCATCAATTAAAATTGCATATATATTGCATATTACTTTAAAATGATTAAAATTAAATCACAAACAATAGTTAGTTATAAACTAAGTGAATTGAAATAAACTGAAATATAAATTGCTCAAGTAAAGTTTTTAAGAAATACTTGAGAAACTAATCAATACATTGTGAAAATTGTTAAATAAGGATTTACAATTATTCTAATTAACTACTCTACACTTTATCCAATTATGATGACATCCAACCATGATGACATGCAAAAAAAAAGTTAAATAATAAGAACTATAACAAATATTTATTTTCTCTCCTCCTTTTCATTAAGAAATAAAAAATTTTTCTTTAGTACCCTAACTAGTGATTTGAGTTGTTACTATGGAGATAAACAACTCAAGTTTAAGCTGTACTATCAAGTTAAATAACTTTTTTTTTAAACATAAAAAAAAAAATCCGTGTATATAGAAAAAAAGTGTCATTTCCATGAATCCTCACATCAAGAATCAGCCATAATATGACAACAGTATTTCATTCAAGGACAAATACGAATTAAAGAAGCAGAGGATGAAATAAGGAGTAAGAAAACAACAAGCATGATAAAAAGAAACAAGCAGATGCTTACTAGACATAAACTAAAAGACTAAGTAAGAGTGCTGCCAATAATCAGTATAGGAAGAATACTACCATTGATAGTAAACAGCAGAATCAAAATTCAACAACCACTGCTTTAACAGAACAGACATAATGTAACAACCACTGCTGTAGAAATATAAAAGGAAAACCAAAAAAATTGTTAAAAGGTAATTATATTTTTCGTATTTAAAATTTCATTAAGAATATTATCAATAACAAGCTTAACCATAACAATGTATATATCTATATATTAGAAAGATAACTGTTTGTTGTTTTTTTTGCTTACAGAAACATTACTAAAAATAAAAGGTAACAATAAAAATCACCAACAACAAAAAACACCAACAAAAATTGATTCATTCAAAAAAAAAGTTTTATCAATATATTTCAACAGAGTAAATATTTACAAATCCAAACATATCGAGAGACATTTAAGTTGAGGAGGAAATAAAAACATAACAAGTAAATAGCATAATAAATTACAAAACTAATTTTCACATAAATTATTTTTGATTTAGATTCTTTGCTACTGCTGAAAGTGGTAATTAGTGCGTAATTCTTTAGCAAAATATTAGAATATATTCTGAATTGTTTTTTTGTGATTTTAAATTAATATTTAGCTGCAATGAACTGAAACTGAGTAACACAAAATGTTCTGCATAAAGGACCAGTAGCACCTTGAAAAAACAAAAAGCAAAATACTGACCATTGGACAAGCGTATTAGAAGAAATATCAAGTCTGCCTCTGTTTAGGCTATTCAGATAACTTCCATAAAAATAATAATAATTGTTAGTGTCATCAAATTTTTATTTCGTTTTTTTGCACATAGCTAGCTATGTAAACTATAGCCATTTATGTAGATTTATTCATTGAGCTTTCAAGATCATGTATATTATCCAGCAGTACTTTTTCATCAGTGGAAATATCTCAAAAACATGTCACAAGTATGACCATCAATACCATCAACAGGAATGTCAAGTTGTAATATCAATTTAGTATGTTGAATATCAATTTTTTCAATTACAGATTTAGCGTTTATAAAGTAAGTACCTCCAGATCCCTGTCGAAGCTTAGAAAAAGCTTTTTCAAATAGATTTGTTGAAAACCAACCTAATAAAACATAATTTGCTCCATTACTCAACAAAGTTTCTACAAGATCAATTAAGCCATAACATGTATGCGCTATTGCATTGCTAGTATCTAGCGTAAGCTGTTTTACATGCTTACCTGTAGGTTTCATATAACTTGACAGCTCAGCAATATCTCATAGCAGTTGTAACTGTTGATCACCGACGGAGTGGATTTCTCCATATAATTAATTTCTAAACCGAATGCCAGCACCAGGCGCTTTGATATTAACAACATTCCAAAAAGAAACAATTTTTTCAATAAATAAGCACTTTTCAACATTTGAAGTACCTTTAAATGCTTTATTTTCAATCTCTGGATGTGTTCTTAATGCAGCTACTGTTTCTTCACAAAAAACAGACAAACAAAACTTTACAGATTGTCTCTCTATTGGTTTTGGATAAACTGATTTAGCTGTAAGTTTAGAGAGTTTAAAAAGACTATTGCACTCAGTTTTATATAAAGTTTCTAAATCACTTCACTTAGCCAAAGTTAGTTCTCCATTGTTCAAAAATTGAAGCTCGCCAGTCTTTTTTGTCAACTAATTGTTTTGTATAGATTTCAAGAGATGCATATAATCATACAATAAATATATACCTGATGTTGTTAACCATGGTTTACTATCAACTGTTTTAAACATTTCAAAAAACCTTTGATTTACACGGTTACCATCAGTAATTATTGCCAGTGTCTTACTATTTTCAATATTATTTAGTGTATCAACTATTTGTTGACATTGAGCAAACTGAAATTCAGAGGAAAGATTTGCAACAGGTTGAGCTCTACATATAAATTCTGGACCTCCAAAAAGACATTTAATCATAAATGATAAAACTGTTTTAGCTAACTTTTCAGAGTAGTTTACTGCTTAACCAAACAAAGCACCTCTTTGGTAAAGTAATGAAGCTTTGACATAAACCTCATCAATTAGTAGTTTAATGGATCTAAATTCATAAAAATACTATTTACAAAATTTAGGTCCTCCTTGATTTTATTTTTGAAGTCAATCGTGTTAAAGTCCGAATACTTGGCAACTTATAGTCAATAATCAAACAACCATATGAACTTTGTCGCATAGCAAAATACTTATATGCTCTACATATAATATCTGGAGTATATAAAACTTCACCAACATTAACTTTTCTCATAGCATAAAGGTGCTCGAATAGAATATTTGACTGATGCGAACTTTCCCTAATTTTTTAAAAATTTAACTGCTTCAAATAAAGCTGATTTTGTTTTTATTAACTTTAATTTGTTTACAGTTAAAGATGAAATATTACAAGTTGTACCATTATGGTAAGCTACAAATGAATAATCATTGAAAATTTCTAAAATAAATAATGGAACACCAAATTTGTACATTTTTGCTTGTATGTGTAAACTTTTTTTATTAAGCTAAAAAACAATAACATCGTTATTAACACTTAACAAAGATTGAATTTCGTCAAATATAAGTTCATCCTCTTTTAAAAAATCATTTAATCCATCTGGTAAAATGTTTCGAAAACCACTTGAAGTTACAGTGTTTCTAACTTTACTAGTGGGTAAACAACTAGACAAAATATTTTTAAAAACAGATGGTGGATTTAAAGGCAGTTGCTTCCCATATTTGCTTTCAAAAGGTGCATCATTTGGCCAATGCAATCAACATACTGCTGTATAGTCTGAAACAGTAAAACCAGTTCTTGAGATAACATCACTCCATCTTTTTCTCTCCTCTGGATTCTTCGGGAATTTGTAAATTGATATTTTAGTTGTAGTAGAGTGATAGTTCGACTTGCAAAGAGGTAAATAGCATTTTGAAGGCATTTTAATTATTAAAATATCTTATTGTTAGTTTGACCTTACAATGTTAACGCCTTGAACCTTACAACGTTAACATCTTGAAGTTGCGCTACCTAATTTATAAACCAATCAAATTTTAAAGATTTATAAAAAAGCGCAAACACAAACTTTCGTCTTATTGTTAAAAGATGAAAACGTAAACAGAGTATTAGAAATCAGCCTTCAGTTATACAACTTTTTTGCTCGATGTCAAGGCCTGTTATTATAGAAGGCCATGGAACAGACACAATGTAACAACCACTGCTGTAACAGAACAGACTACATAATGGGTGTCATGACTGGTAGTGTCATGAGCAAATTAAAAACCTTAGAGATAATCAAAAATATTGAAAATATAGAAAAGAAACAACACAGGACTATTGATAGAGCTTCGTGAAATCTCCAGAAGTTAGAGGAGATGAAAGAGTGTTGTCCATGTAGGACAACTTTAACACTGTGGTTAGAAATTAATGATTCCATAACTTAAAAACTTTTCCAGATACACCATATGAAGAAATCTTATGGAGAAGACCAGCATGCCAAACTTTATCAAAAACCCTTATCTACAGAGTTTTTAAAAATTGGAACCACAGAGGCTATTCTATAGAAAAGCTATAGGCCATGATTGAAACTATAAAATGAAACTATATTGAAACTTTCCTATAAAATGGCCATGAGGCCATTTTATAGAAAAGTTAAGCACCAAAAATTAAATAGTTGAAGACACCAAAAATTAAATAGTTGAAGAAAAATAAAAAAAGTTGAAGATGATTTGGATTTCTAACAATAAAATAATCTATTTCTCTTGGATGTCAGAAAGAGTATGGTCAATAGATTAAAAAGATGAATTAGAAAAAAATTTCTTTGCAAATAATTCTGCATGCTGGCCTCACATTCAAGAATTCTGAATGGGTCTTTTATGCTTTTGTTTTCACAGGCCAAGAAAATTACTAAATCAGACTTTTTTTAAATTTATTTTTTGCAATGGTTTTAAGGTTTCTATAACTTAAACTCTTAAAGGGACTACCAAGTCCCGAGACATGTTGTGTTCATATTAAAGAAAATGTTAAAAAAAATGCCTGAGCAAATTTTTTTTGATTAAAACTAATTAATAAATGAGTTAACATTAACAATTAACTAAGAAACAAATCTTGTTGTTTTAGTTGAAGCTCGTCTTCTCCAATTTCTGCCGTATTTTGAGTATGTAAAATAAACGCGATTTTCCAGGCGCATTATACAGCTTTGATAAT